GGCCAGACGTCGTCGTCGTCGTTCCCTGGCAGCGAGCCTGATGCTTGAGGAAACTGTCTCTCCAGACGATCTTCTTGCCGCAGAGCGCGCACTCGTACGGACGCAGGCCTCCGTGCGTCTTGACGTGTTTGGTCAGGTGGTGCTTCATCTTGAAGCTCTTGGAGCAGACGGGGCAGACGAACGGACGCAGGTTCAGGTGCTGCATTTTCACGTGGCGGTCGCGCATGCTCTTCAGCGTGTACGCTTTGCCGCAGTGACAGAAGTGAACTTTGGGCGTCGCAGAGAGAGGAGAGCACGGGGAGGACGAGGACGACTGCGAGGCCCAGGAGAGCTCGGACGGTCCCGGCGCCAACTGGTCGGATGGTCCCGGCGGTGGCAAAGGACGCTGGGAGATCTGCCCCGTGGCCTTTTCGATCTCGTCGTAGGTCTCGAACGTGACGTCCGTTTCGTCCTCCTCGTCTTCGTCGTCCAGGAGCTTGGCGTCCGACAAAGTCCACTGGTTCCACAGTCCGTCCGTCTCGCCGCTCTCTCTGAGACGTCCGTCCGACTCGGCGGCTCCTGAGAGAAGACAAGAGCAGACAACAAGTCAAAAACACGTCGGTTCTCCACGTTTCCCCCTGGTGGACGGGCGCTAAACTGCAGTGATGAAGAAGCTCCACTCACCGGCCTGGTGCTCCTCACACTTCACCCTCACTTTGTCCTCATCCAGTGGCTCTCCGACTCCTTCATCCGCTTCCATCCTCCGCTGCTCCTCGTCTTCCTTCGCTCCTCGGAGGCGAGCGCGGATTCGGTGCCTTGGGAAGTCCGAAGTTTCAATGGACGGCAAAGGCGCAACGGGGAATGCGTGGAAACCTTCGTCTCCCGTATTTGGGCCGCATTCGGGCTCCGTTCGGACGGGGAACGTCAGGCTGCTTCTGCTCCACCTGCTCTGAGTTGGACGCCTCCATGTGGCCAGAGGCGGTAGTGCGCTTTGCGGCCGTTTTTCCAGAGTTTGTTCGCTCGCCGCTCGCTCCCCGTCCTCCGGATCGGCGAAGCAGCAGTCGGAGCTGCTGGGCGACTGGTGACTGGAGGACGTCGCCCCGCCGGGGCTGACCTGAACCAAAGGTCGCGACCTCTTCAGGATGTCCGTGCACTTGTCCACGATGTGCCACATCTGCAGGAAGCTGGCCACCGTGACGTAGTTGATGATGTCGTCGCGCACGATGCTGAGCTGACCCGTGTAGGCCGAGTTTAACACGCTCTCGAAGGCCAGAGGGTCCATGACTGAGGGAAGAGACACCGTGGTGACGTCCTTCAGCAGAACCTGGCAACAGAACCGCAGTGTTCAGAGCCGCTCCAGTTAGAGCTACGCCGTTTGTCCGTGCAGGACTGTAATGTGTGCTGTAGCATACTATGCTTTTCTGTTGCTAAATAACCAGGGGCCAGATTAACAAAACAGGCAAGACACTACAGATACATAGACTCAAAATTTTAACTAACAGACATCACTATACTTACCCGGCACAGTGCGATAAGACAATTGTTTTGTATTTCAAGTTTTCTGAAATTGTATGTTTAAATATTCAAATAAGGCATTATCTATTTGTATATGCATTCATTTGCATACATTTCCAGAACAGAAATCTGGAATTGGTCCAAAAAGTCTTGATTTTGTTGTCATAATTGGAGTCAAAGGTTTGTCCAGAGGGGATTTTGGATTTGTCTTTTCATCACGCCATAAATCAGAAAATACT